TTTTTTCCCTGTAAACAAAGATAAATGAGCAAAGGCCTGGAATGAAATACGTCAGGGTATGAATCTCGGAATGAAATACGTCAGGGTTCATTTGAGAGGCTATTTCACATTGGCACATTGGATTTTTATCATAAATCGTGGATGGGACATTCAGTTATTCTGTTTAGTTTGTCAGCAGATGGAACACCATTTCAGTTATTTTGTGTAGTTTAAGTTCAGGTGTAGCTGTTTGATTGATTGTGTGGTTTATTATATTCTCTTCAGAAATCGGTTTGCTCTAACCCAGCTCTAAAGACTGAACAGGTGTTTAAAGTTGCTCTTAAAACTGAAAGAAATTAGTAAAAGGGTTTTTGCTACATCTTAGGGAGCATGTACTGCTGGTTCAAAAAATGTCCTACAGTATATGTTGTGTGCATGATACTTGTGTATTAGTGTGTGATTTGTGTATAAAATGAAAACATGTTTTCTACAGAAGTAAGATGTAAGTCAATGTATTTTTTTATTGTTGGATTTTTAGCCGGCCCCTATAAGGTATTTGTTTTCTACTGGTTATTCAATAGTATTATAGGTCTGTATGAACTCTACTCAACACTTGAGTATAAACTTGAGATTTCTTATATTGTAGAAACACCATGGAACTTCTTATTTTGGTGAATTCATGAAAATGTTTTCTTATTTATTTTACTTGTGTTTTCCTGTCCTAATGCTCACAGTCTGAATGCAGTTAACTCTACGTATCAGTGCAGATTGCATCATGAAGTACATGAGCTATTGAGATTTTTGATGGGATGATTAGATAAATTAATCTAAATTAAAGTTCTATGTCATTATATAATATAATATATATAATCTCCAGTTTGTGGGTTAAGCAAATTGCATTGGGTTCTTTTGAATTTTTCTTTTTTTAAATTATCATTTAACATCCCATATTTTTTTTCCATCATGAAAGCCAGACTCTCCATAATGAAAACAAGTTAGTGAGGAAAATAATACAAAAGGCATGCGGATAAATCTGAATAGTAGAAAATAAAGCAGTAGTTTACTCTCAATTTGAGTTGCCATGCAAAAACTGCATTTCAGATCAAAGGCCACTTGGGCTGTAACTGCTTTTGATTTCCAAGCAACATTTCTCACATTTTGATATAAAGGTAGCAATTTTTAGCTCGCTGATGTTAAGGATATAACCAGCTGATTTGATTTCTTGAGCAAATCAAATCTCGAGTATTTTTTATTTAAGATATTTAAATATTTTATGTAATTTTGATGGATGTGTATTTTGGTAAAATAGTGGAATATCAATTTTCTTAAACTATTTGCAAAGGTTTAAGGTGTAATCTGCTTATCTTCCCTCAAAAGGTAGTCAGAAAATAGTTATAAACAAGGGGGTTATCAGAACATTATTGAGTTATTTTGGGGAAAGGTCAAGTGAATCAGCATTTTGATTAACATAAAGGCCGAAAGTCCTTTTTACTTGGTGTTAGTCATATCAGATTTATAGGGTAACAGGTCTTTCCCAGAGTGAAAGTATTTAATAACACTGTATCCACTTTCTTTTTACAGTTATGACTCACTTCCAGATTAGTACACAGAGATGCACTAAATTGCATGTATGTAAATCAATTATCCGGTAAAAGCTAGTTATACATTGAATTAAAAGCAACTACATTTTTTATCCTGAATTGTTTAGTGAGCTGTTTTGTGCTGATTACATTTTTCTCTATTTTTGTTGTAACTTTTGAATGTCTTTCCTTTGTGTTTTCTTTTCCTGGGGGTGGGGTCTTTGGGGGTATATTCTGGTAGGTACCTTGTCTATTATCTTATTGAATGATTGAATTGCTATTGATAAAGATAACAAGTACACAGTTAGAAAACTGACACTAACAGGGATTCCAACCATAAATGTTGCTCATTATTAAACAAATGTCGAACATTGATAATAAAAATGTGACCAGCTTAAATTTGGTGTTCTATTTTAATCACCTCATTTTGCAAAGTCACCCTTGTGACTTCTTTATACTTTTCATCTCTTGAGATTTGAACTTGTACTATGAGACCTTTTATCTCTGGAGAAGCAGCAGAAACCTAGACAAATAAATGTCAGGTACTGTATATTTGTCATTGCAACCTTTAAATAATGTTTCCCATTATATGAGGATGAAAAAGATACAGTACAGAAAATAAAGGAACAGAATACTGTATAAAGTCCAAATACATTTTTATTATTTTCACTGCATGTACTATGGTTTATTTGAGATGTTGAAACTCAAAACAGATCTCTTAAAAACTGTTGAATGAACATTCCATAAATGCTTTTGTTTCACATTTTTTTCTCCCTTTAAATTAATGCAGACCATTCATATTAATAGATTGTATAATTTCAGATGTACAGTGGTGCTAGAAAGTTTGTGAACCTTTTTGAATTTTCTAAATATCTGCATATATTTGACCTAAATTGTGATCAGATCTTCATCTAAGTTCAATTCAATTTATTTTTATATAGCACCTGTCACAACTAGGTTGCCTCAAGGCGCTTAACAAAGCAAGTGACCCTACATATTGTAAATACAGAACACAAAAGACCAGAAGACAATGGAGGAGAGGAACCCAAAACACCTTAGTAAGGAGAAAAACCCTCTAGGGGTCCAAGGTCAACTGACTAAGTATAGGGGTTATATGGTTGTACTTTCTGCTCCTGGTAACAATTCTAGCTGCTGCATTCTGAATTCGCTTTAAGGTGTTGAAGGAGTGATGGGTGCTTCCTGATAGTAGGGCATTGTAGTAGTCTAACCTGCTGTATACAAGAGCATGTATTAATTTTTCTGTGTCTTGAGTGGAGAGAAACTGCCTTGGTTTTGCAATATTATTTAACTGTAGAAAGCATGTTATAGATACTCTTTTAACACAAGAGTTAAATGAGAGCCTTGTGTCTACGCCTAGGTTACATGCTGAGTCTTTGAGGCAAATTTTTAAATCCTCTGAGTTAAGTGCTGAAGTTATAGTAGTCCTATCAGTATTGTTGCCTCCAAACAACAGACTCAGCAGAACAATTAAACTTAACTCCTTTTATTAGAGTTGAATAACACACATCCAAGTCTTTGCTTCATTAATGCAAGCAGTCATAAAGAGAACCCAAATGAAACAAATAACACACAAAAGGATATGCTTATTCCACTCATTTATTGATCAAAATGATCCAACATTAAATGTCTTTTTTCGAAAAAGTATGGAACCTATGCTTTCAGTAAGTGGTGTGACCCCCTTGAGCAGCAAGCTTGGAGGAATTTTGGCCCATTCCTCCTTACAAAACTGCTACACCTCAGTGATGTTGGTGGGCTTTCTTGCATGAACTCCCCACTTCAGTTCCTGCCACAACATTTCTATTGGATTAATGACTTTGACTCGGTCATTCCAAAATGCGAAATTTCTTCTGCTTCAACAATTCTTTGATAGACTGACTTGTGTGTTTAGGGTCTTTGTCTTGCGCAAGTCCCACCTTCTGTTGAGTGTCAGTTCACGGACGGATACCCTGAAATTCTCCTGTAGAATTTGCTGATACAATCCAGAATTCATAGTTCTGTCAATGATGGCAAGCCGTCCTGGTCCCGTGGCAGCAAAACAGCCCCAAACCATGATACTGACACCACCGTGTTTCATGGTTAGGATTAGGTTCTTATGTTGGAATGCAGTGTTTGGTTTTCTCCAAACATAAAGTTTCTCATTAAAGCCAAAAAGTTCTATTTTTGACTTATCCGTCCACAGAACATTCTTCCAGTAGTCTTTTGGCTCATCCAGGTTGTCTTTAGCAAACTTTAAATGTTGTTCTTGGAGAGTAGTAGCTTCCTCCTTGCTATCCTCCCATGCACACTATTCTTGTTCAGTGTTTGCCTGATGGTGGACTCATGAACACTGACATTAGCCAGTGCAAGAGAGGCCTGTAGATCCTTAGACGTTACCCTGGGGTTCTTTGTGGTCTCCCAGAATATTACATGCCTTGCTCATGGAGTGATTTTTGTTGGACGACCACTCCTGGGGAGAGTAAGAATGGTGTTGAATTTTCTCCATTTGTACACTATCTGCCTGACAGTGGATTAGTGAAGCCCAAAGTCTTTAGAAATCGTTTTGTAACCTTTTCCAGCCTGATGAGCATCAAGAAAAAGAACTCTTTTTCTGAGGTGCTCAGAAATCTCATTTTATCAAGGCATGGCATGTGTTCACAATCAAAGTTAATCAAAGGCACATCAATACAGGATGCACCAGTAGTTGCTGGCAATGAAATGTCTTTTCTACGAGCTCACCGGGGGGGTAAAAAAACATTATTAAGGTTGCATAATAATAGATAATAATGCAATAGAAATTGAATAAAATAAACTCAGACAAAACTCAATATTAATAGATCTGTTATGTGTCCAGGGTATATGCAATATATTATGTCCAAGTAGTGCAGTATGCAGAATGCAATGAAAACTGTATGTCCATGTAGCCATTACGGGTGATTTGCTGAAGGAGCTGCAGGTTGGCTATTTAGCAGTCTTATTGCCTAGATGTAGAAGCTGTTGCGTAATCTGTTGGACATTGACCAAATGCTTCGGTATTGTTTACCAGACGGTAGGAGAGAAAACAGTTTGTAACTGGGATGACTGGGGTCCTTGAGAATGGACCTGGACTTCTTAAGACATCTAGCTGAGTAGATATCCTGGATATTTGGTAGCTCCCAGCCGCTAATCAGCTGTGCTGACTTCACCACTCTCTGCAGTACTTTGCGATCCTGGGCGGAGCAGTTCCCATACCAGGCAGTGATGCAACCAGTCAGGATGCTCTCAATAGTGCACCTGTAGAAATTGCCCTGGATATGTGACGGCATGCCGAACTAGCCTGCGGAGAAAGAATAGGTGCTTCTGTGCTGTTTTTACCATGATGTTGGTGTGGTGGGTCCAGGTTAAGTCCTCCGTGATGTTAACTTCCAGGAACTTAAAACTGCTGACCCTCTCCACTGCAGTCCCATTGATATAGATAGGTATGTGATCCCCTCCCTGGTGTTTCCTATAATCTACAATGTGATGTTCAGAGAGAGGTTGTTCTCCTTGCACCATGCAGCCAGGGTTTCAACCTCCTCCCTGTATGCAGACTCTGGGATCAGGCCAGTGACTGTTATATGTTCCACAAACTATGATCGAATTTGAGTTATGCCTGGCACAATCATGGGTAAATAAGGACATGGCTAAGCACACAGCCTTGCGGGGCTCCAGTGTTTAGAGTCAAGTAGAGGATATGTTGGTACCCACCCTCACCACCTGCGGACGTTCCGTCAAGAGGCCAGCATCCAATTACAAAGGAAGGTGTTCAGTCGCAGGTCCTGGAGCTTGATGACAAGGTTTGAGAATAGGGTAGGGCCACACAAACTCAGACCTGATTGTTATCATATTGATTGACACTCCTGATTCTAATTACCCCCTTAACTGTACTGATAATCCTAGAGACTTACATACTTTTTCCGACAAATACATTTAATGTTGGATCCTTTTGATCAATAAATGAATGGATAAAAGTATATCCTTTTGTGTGTTCTTTGTTTTATTATTATCTTTCTTTATTTTTATGACTTAGAAGAAGATCTGATCACATTTTTGCAGTAATTCAGAAAATTCACAAACATTCTAGCACCACTGTAAGGTTTTGATTGCAGATGTAAGGTTTCTGCTTCAGGGCTTACTAAGAGAGCAAATTGAATAGCATAAAACTTAAGTGTTGTTGTAATAGTCTTCCTCACAGAGTGTAACTACACACTACCTTGTCCATTGGCCCCTTTTTCAAATCACAGGGGTGCAGGTGTACAAAGATACTACTGAAAAAAGGAAGACCTAGAATTATATTAACCTTGGGTTAATCTCATTGGTTCCTCTGAATAGGAGCACAAACAGAACTGGGGCTATGTAACATGACTACTGCAGAGAAATAGAAAAGGGTTTAATATGGGAAGGATAGCTTTTGTGGTTGCCAGCATTCTGACAAGATGTGTTCAATCAGAGCAGCTGACACAAACCATCCTGTCACACATGAATATAGAATATTGTGCTGCATGCATTGTAGGGTATCTAATGAGTTACATCTAGAGCTGCTACTTAAAGTGCTAAATATAAAGGAAATGATTAAAGAATATTCAAAAAGTGATTAACTTTATGTTTTTTTTTCTAAATAGGACATTGGATGGTCCTAAATCCATTTTATTTATGTATTTTTCAGGTGGTGCATACCTACAAAGGCCACAATGCAGAAGTTCATCTTTTGCTGCCTTTTGGAGATCACATGATTTCAGTGGACAAAGACAACATTCTCATTATCTGGGATGTACAGTCAGAAGGTACACGTATATATGATTTTTGATTTGACAGTTCATATTATTTGAAAGACAAACTTTAGAGATCAGATATCTTAAATATTTGTTTTAATCTAATGGTAACAGTTCTTTTATGGAGGATATCTAGTGTCATTATCCCTAAAGCATCCATCAGTAACAAATTGCTTTATATTTTTTCTTTCAGAGGAGTACTTGCAGATAACATTTGATAAAACAGCATTTGATGTGTCTGCCATAATGCACCCGAGTACCTATCTGAATAAGATCCTGTTGGGAAGCAGCCAGGGAGGACTTCAGTTGTGGAATGTGAAATCCAAGTAATTGCTTCTTCTTACGTTTTAACATTTGCTATTGAGTTCTTAGTAGATTTACAGGTAATTTGCTATAGTCTGCATACATTTTTAAGAGGAATTATAACTATAGCATTCACTTTGTAATAGTTGTATGATCACATAACAAAATGTCATCATTATTTAAATGCAAAAGAAAAACTGATGATTTGTCATCACTAAATATAACAAATTTTTGAGGATGAATGTCAAATTGGTGGCATTTACATTTTTAGAACTATAGTATAATTGTATTTCTGTCCATATTTCCTTTAGCAAACTTCTATACACATTCTCTGGCTGGAGTTCAGGAGTGTCAGTTCTTACACAGGTAAGTTCTTATGTAATATAATATTTTGAAAAGATAATGAGTGTGTAAACCATTCATTCTGGAATTTCCATTTTAAACACATAATACAACAACAGCAACATAGGAGATTTCTCAGAAGTAAGCCTTTCCTACAATTTAATCACAAAAAGTCTCTGTCTGAGGTATATAAAATGAAATCTTGATAAGATGGAAACTTTCTGAACAAATTGCCGTGGACTGATGAAACTCTGGGGGAAAAAAATAACTTTTTGGACACAACCAGCCACAGAAGATACATTTGGAGAAAACGGCGTGAAGCGTTCAAAGAAAAGAACACTTTGTCAGCTGTTGAGCATGGGGGTGGTTCTATTAGGCTTTGGGGTTGTGTGGCAGCCAGTATCACAGGAAATATTTTGCAGCTGGAAGTGAGAATGGATTCAACTAAATATCAGTAAATCCTAGAAGCTAATGTCCCACAGTCAGTGAAGAAAATGAAGCTGAAAAGAGGTTGTTTATTTCGGCAAGACAGCGATCCAAAACATACCTCAAAATCAACCAGTACTTCCTGGAAGAAAAAAATCAGGTTTATGAATTGCCTTCACAGACCCAAGACGTGCAAAAGTGCCTAAGAATATTTATTATGCAACGAAGAGTGGGGAAAAACGTCCAAAAGCAAAAATAGGAAGACTCTTAGCTGGCTACAGGAAATGTTTGTAAACTATGATTTCTTTCAAAGAAGGTGTTACTAAGTACTGATTGATAGGGTGCCTAAACTTTTGCCTGAGCCATGTTCACTGTTTTATTATTTTGAATATCTACATTACTGTAAATAGATACTAGTTGTGCATTCATTTTGCAGAAAGATGTCATGTTAAAGTTTGTACCACTCAAAGGTTGTGTCAACTTCTTTTCACTTAGAGATTCACTGAAACATACAATTCGACCAGGGATACCTACACTTTTGTATGCAACAGTATCTCCAGTTAACTTATATTTGCATCATTTGGATTTAAAGTAGTCTGTTTCTTGGATGTGCTGTAACTCCGTAAAACATATCAGTGTTTGCAGTTTACTCTGCAATGTATAAACCTGTGTTAGTCGACAACTGTTAGAAACTGCAGGAATGTGCAGAACTGAGTTACCTTCAGTCTTAGTGCCCAGTATGTACTTTGTTTCTTTGGACTTTTGCATTGTATATATCTCTCTCTTTCCTTTCACTGGAAGACCTAATATTGTTTTTTGTTACATGTGTTAAGGCTCCAGCAGTGGATGTTGTGGGTGTTGGATTATCATCTGGTCAGATTATTGTTCACAACATTAAGTATGATGAGACATTAATGAAGTTCCAGCAAGACTGGGGCCCAATTACTGCTATATCATTCCGAACAGGTAACCCCCAGATTGCTTCTTATGTGTGTACATATGTACAATATGTGTACATTATTGTGTTCTTAAAGCACAGCAGTTTAGACAATATTGTGGTAACAGTAGGCCTAACCATTATTATTGTCCTGTAAAGGTAACTGAATTAGGTAGTTAACTAAATTAACTAGAACTGTGTACTTAAGGATAAATGAATATTACCCTATACTATGTCCTATTATCCTAACTACATTACCCTTAAAGGTGTTTTCAGGCAAAAACGGAGTACAGTCCATAGAGAATATTTTTCAGATATCACAATGTAGAACATAAATATTTAAGCACAATTATTTCAAATTAAGAAAACAACATCTTATGTATTGCTCTGTGTTTTTTGTCTTGAAGATGGCCATCCAGTTATGGCTGCTGGCAGCCCTGTTGGGCACATTGGACTGTGGGACCTTGAAGACAAGAAACTCATTGCCCAAATGAGAAATGCTCACAACACTTCCATTGCAGGGCTGACATTTGTTCAAGGAGAGCCTCTTCTTATTACAAATGCAGCTGATAATGCCATTAGGGTATGTCATATCTTTGTTTTGCAGCATGTCCCTGAAGGAAGTGTAAGAAAATGTTGACTTGAAGAAAACTCTTTCATTGCCTTTTCAAATTTCAATACCCAACAGTAAACAAATAGTATGCCAGTTGCATAAATTGAGCATTTTCACCCTCCTTATTTGATCTACATGGTTATAGTTTTACAGTAGATGTGTAATATACTCTAGAGAATTAGCTCTTAAGCTTACTCTGAGAGCACCTCAGCTGGACCACCCAGGATAGAGGTGTTTTCATTGAGGCTGTAGTTCTCATGAACAAGTCATGTCCTAAACAGATCTGCAGTACAAATTTATGACCAAATTATTCAGCCCATCTAGCCTGTGTGCCAGCAGTAATTTGATTTGAAGATCTCATCTCGTCATTTCCTGAACAACAATTTGGTAGTTCGTTCCATACTCTCCTGTCCCTTTGTGTAAACATGTACCACCTTCCATTCTAATTTTTCACTGCACAGCGACATAATTCCCTGGTTTGTATTTCACTGTTGACTCTGAAGTATTCTGTTTGGCTGACTCTGTCCGTGCCATTGAGGACTTTGAATATTTGTATCAGGTCCCCTTGAAGACTTTTGTGTTCAGGATAAAAAGGGCTTTGTTCCTTTCATACACTGAAGTGCCAAGTCCCAAATCAAATAATGTACCATCTTTATATTTTGGATGGCAATGTTGGTTAGCACAAATAAAGCACGAAACACTTAAGAAAATGTGCTGCCCAATTGATTGGAAAAAGTTCTTTAAAAGGGTTAGATGTGCAAAATTTGAATGACATTGAAAGGAAATGATTAAATAGGGCTGGGTGATATGGCCAAAAACATTATCACAATAAAAATTTTCATATCGGTCGATATCGATAATTATCACTATAAATGTCAAATCATTATTTCTTTCAAGTTTAAAGGCAGATTTTTTCTCATGAGTGAAAGTTGAAGAAACCAGACAGTTAATTGGTAAATTAAACAACTCTTTATTTTAAGAACACAACAAACACTTGCCAAACAGCTGAAACATTAAACAAATCTGAGGTAGAGTATTCAAGTCCTTTTTATGTCAAAATATGCATTAGTAAAATTTACAAAATAAATATCTTAATAGAAAAATTTAATACTGCAGTGTTATAAAACACACATAGAAGATGGCTAAGACTTTAAAAATGCAATGTTTAAAGTGCTCTGTTTTATGTCTGATCCTAAAAAGCCAAAATATCTCCAAATTTCCGAAGTTGAATGACCTTTTCTGTCGACGATGTCATCGTCCTTCCAGCTGGTCGTTGGCAGCACTACATTTGCTTCAGTGTTGCTCATTTCTCCACTCTAACTACAATCCTGTCAGCCACCACCGTGTGGGTAAACAACACCACGTTAGCTGCCCAGTCTGCAACACGCAGGCGCAGTATTTTGCGCAAAGCATAAACATATATATCGAACATTTATCGAACTTTTGTTAAAAATATATCGCCGAAAGTTATATCGCGATAATTATCGTTATCGAATTATCGCCCAGCACTATGATTAAATAAAAAAATGTAGTAGATACCAATGAATAATAAATGTAAATACCTAATGCAGGTGTTCAAAAACTGAGGCAAACCTTTGCAACATTGTTTCTGTTCTATCACTAATGTATTCCAGTAGGCAAAACTGTAAGCTAATGAACAATTATTTTTGTCTTGAACAGGTGTGGATATTTGATGCTCCAGGAGGTGGTGGTCGCTTATTGAGATGCCGCATTGGACACAGTGCTCCACCCACAAGAATAAGGCACCATGGGCAAAACGGGAAGCAGATTCTTAGTGCTGGTACTGTCTTGTGTATTTCTGGTAGTCAGTGACTTCAATAGCTTTGGGCTTTATAATAAATGGAATTATTTAAAATGGAACCGGAAACCATAGCCCATAATGTTTACGTGTTACCATTTATGTTAGATGTTAAGAATTAAAAGTGAATTTACACTGAGTTACACAGGATTACTTTGTTACTGAAGCTTTGTTGGGGTATGGCGAGCACTTTTTTGTATAACATTATATTATTATTTTACATGACTTAAGTTCAATCATTGTGGTGTTGTCCGATTCATTTTGCTTTAGGCTAGGTGTCATTTTGTATCAGTTTGCTTTAATCTCATCTATCCTAAAATTCCTTGTAGCCAGAATCACTTTCTCCCATTTCGGACGCAAGGAATTTTAGTATAAGATCTTTTGTTTTGGTTTCTCCAGGCTCAAATTTACATTTTTGGAACTATTTTTTTTTTAGTTGGGGAGATATCTTATGAACTATTAATAGAGATAAGGGATATTTTACTATTTATGTGATATAGACATGTTTGTATACATAATCTTTCAAATGGACAGTGTTTTATATTTAATGCCTATCAATTCTTTGGGAATTTTGACGGTATTATATTAATTCACAGGCCACAATACAGGAAATAAGAAGTGAAGTTTTTAAAGTTTGTACTTTTTTTTCAGGACAAGATGGAACTTTGCAGTCTTTTTCCATTATTCATGAGAGGTTCAATAAGAGTTTGGGACACGGTAATTTCTTTGGCTACTTCATTGTATTTTAGAATACAGTGTAAAACCTATATTCATAATTCTAATTTAACTTTAATGTGGAAAATTTATGCATTTAAAGTTCATATATTTCCAAGTAGTACAACACTTGGAGATTTTACTTTTTATTAGTATATTATTATTTAACTTGAAATAATAAAATCACGGGTACCTATGCTGTAGGAAAGACAAAGGAGCTGTACTACATAGATGCACTAAAAGTATTAGCATTTATGGGATTATTTTTTACAAAACAAAATCAGTTAAAACATCAAATTCAGTATCAGCCTTGTAATGCAATTTAATGACATTTTAATATTTGGCCTAAGCTAAGAAAATAAATTACTGGAAAATGCTTTGTAAAAGATAAAAAATTTGTAAACAATTTACTTTGGTTAGCCACTATACCATTAGGTGGTTTTATTTAGGTCATGTTTATACTACAAACACATAGAAGACAGAAAAAGTCCTTTCTGTTTTTTGTTTGCATGGCCTTCTGTTCACTGTTGGTGTCACATTTGGGCTTCTGTAATAATAGACAATTTGAATAGATCTATAAAGAAAACCTTAATATGTAACAAAAAGTTTGCATACACATCACTGTATTCCTGCATTATCTCTCTATGTCACTATCAATAATAAAAAGTGAGTAACAGGTCAATGTGTGGAACTCCTGAATAAATGAAAAGCCATTGAACTGGCTGTGAATCACTTTGTTTAATATGAAATTTAAAATGAATATTTGAGGCTGGCCAGATGCAAGTGACTCACTCAGCTGCCTATGAATCATTTATTTACTATAAAAGCCAATAGAAAGACAGCGTTTGTCAAATAAAAGTTGGTTGTTTCAGTTTTAAATCTTGCAAATATGTGTGTATTCTTCCATATTCTTCTTAGAATAGTTTTTAATCAGTTTATGAGTGCACGGAAGTAAATATAAAAACACAGATGATGATGGATTTAGAGTTTTCTGCATTTAAAGAGTACTTAAACTATTAAAAAGATCAATTTTTAACTTTTGCTTGTGTTATTAACAGGTTCCATTAACAAAAAAAAATCCAAAAAGAAGGGTCTCCAGTATGACACAATGAAGCTTCCAGCTATTACCACATTTGCCTCAGGTATGATCGTAAACCACAGAAAGAACTAAGTGGAAACTGTATTCTGTATTTACATGTAGGCATTAATTTTTACTTTGGTTTTGGCTTACGTCTGGTACTTTGTGCGAGAATTGTAGGAAGACTCAAGATAACATTACTCAGCCTTGTGTGTTTATAAACAGCAATTTGTTGTTCATGCTGTAAATGTTAGTCATCACTTTATAGTGAGTAATTATTTTCGTCTGTATGTTTACTTGATGAAATTTAATGAAAACTTACATGTGACTCTTTTCTACGTTACACCTGTTGATACTTTGTGAATCAGTTAATCTCCTTAGAAAAAGACCAAAGTTTTGCCTCATTGAAATAACTGAAATGACACAGACTTGCATTCATGTTTATAATACAGAATAGGAAGGTGAAGAGTCATGGTATACTTGGAGTTTTGTGAGTAAGGCTTTTACCTTTTAGTTTCTCTTTAACATCTGTGTTTTTCCTGGTATAATGCTGAATCATTGTAAAGCTGTGTTTGAGAATTGTGGTGTAATATAATTATTTAAATTAATTCATTTAGAGACTGCACGTCAGAGTGATTGGGATGGTATCGTTGCTTGTCATCGTGGTTTCCTAAGTGTAACCACGTGGAACTACCAGAAGACCTCCATGGGAGTGCACAAGCTGGAGCCGGAGAGATTTGAACGAAACCGAGCGCTAAATGTCCACGCTACGGTTAGTAACTCTTTTGCTGACACTGTAAACATACAAAGATAAACAAAGCATCCAAGAAAGGAAATGCTTTTAACGAAAAAAAGCAAGAGCTTACAGTAATAGAATCTCTGCAGGAGATTGAAATAGAAAATGTTATAATGGTCTTCCTTCTAGTTTCCATAGTTTAAGCGAAATAACTGTTATTACAACTATACAGTGTGTTGAATGAAAGGATATGAAGCAGTTCTGAACCCCAGTATTGACCTGTAGATTCATATGGTTCAGTACAGTGGCATATAGGTAAATAGGTGTTCTAGGTCCTAGACCCATCTAGGTCAAGACTTCATCATTGTATTAGATGCAATGAAGAATTTGAAAATAAGGGCTGAAGGTAAAAAGAGCTTCATCTTTTAGTGCATATTTATTTGATATTTTAGATGTAAATAGGGGTTTAACATAATTTAGAAAGTGGAAAAACTGAAATATATTGAAGGTTGTGGAAATAATATACCCTTTAAATGTACCAGACCCTTGAAACACTAGTGCACTGCTTGATTCTTAGTCAATTCAAAACTGATTGCTTAATGGTTTAAAAAAAACATTTTACGCTTAAAGTGGAGAAACCAACACTGCTAACATAATATGTCAATGAAATAAAAGAAATGCTAGAAAATTATTAGAGATACAACTAGATGGTAATATCTGCTTCACGTACCTGCAATTATTTACTTCCTTTATTGTCCCAAATGGGACAATATGTGAAAAACATAGCACAATGCACATGTTTAACACCACATGAAGCCAGCCATTAATAAATGAGATGTACACATGTGTAATGGAAAAAATTAATAAAGTAAGATATACAGTCAGTTTTCCTTGTTAAGCAGGTTAATAGTTATGAGAATAAAGGATAACCTCATTCTTTTGCAAAGGGTCATGACAATCAATGATTATATTGGCTTTACTCACTGTTTAAAGTAGAAATCTGACAAATCTGTAGTGCCAATAATTTTGCTGGCTGCCTTCACTATTTCGCTCAGTAGGTCACCAAACCAGGCTACCGTAGTGGATAGTAGTTCAGGTGGGTAGCTGCGTCAGCATGCGTAGGCTGCAAAGGAACAAGTAATAGGTTTATTCCATGCTGAAAAAAAGAAGAAAGAGAACAC